AACTTGAATCTTCCATCACCGTTGTCACAAGTTAAAGGTCCAGAGACCTTCAGCTGGTGGTTCAAACTAATCTTGCCAAAGCAACAGAGTGAAAAAATATGTCTGGCTTTTTACTGCTCATTTTAAAGAAAATAAAGTCAATGATGAGATTTTTCAACATCAATAAAGTCATTCTTTCCCGCAGCTTGCAATGTTTGTGGACCTCTATTCAACAGAAAGCTTCTGACATCTCTCTTATCTATGGATCATTTATTGTGTAGATGTATTTTAGGATCTACCCTATTCTTGTATCCTCACTCAGCACCCTGAAATTAGATAAAGCACAGAGTTGTGTTCACCGAGCAGTTTCACAGTGAGGGATGGAAGTGTGTCATTGAGCCCAAATTAATGTACCAATTAATTAAACACTTTCAAGCTGTATGCCCATATTTGTTAGGGACAAAATGCTCAGTGATCACAATAAAATGCATTTTGGGCTCCAATATAACCAACTTCAATCACTTCAGCTCCCAGCTCACTCAAACCTAACCCACAGCAAGCTGTGATCACTGGAAATTAGATAACTTTCCACTGGTTGTTTTAATTTGATCTCATTTCCTTTCAGGTGCACCAGTGCCAGTTCAGAGTGACTCCACCTTGGCCTGTTGGTTTTTCAGCTTTAAATCAGCAAAAGCAAGGCCAGAGTCAGACTCTGGCTTCTCTCTGATGCATTGAACCACTTTTGGCATTGTGCAGCTCTTCACACAAAGAGCCAGTGGCTCACAGCACAGTACCAAGGCCGCAGGAGGTTTTCCCATTTTTAATTCTGACTACTCTTAAACTTGGGATTTGCTTAAAGAAAAATACATTGCTAGTGCCAATTAGATAACTGGATCATTCTTCTTCTGACAGAAATTTATTTTTCTTTTACTTCCAAGGGCCCAGCTTCTAAAGTACAATAGCACACATCTAATTAAGTGGGTTGCTTGTGAGGATGAGCTCTGAAATTATAAATATCCTCTGAGTTTGTAAGCAACTAAGATTCTTCAGAGAAATTTGTACTCCTCTGTTTTTAAAAATCACCTGTGTGGTGATGCAGCACATGCCACACTGGTCTCTGCAGGGAAAATTGTCCCATCCTTCACACCCTGGAGCCAGGCCACTGTCCCCTCCCTGGACAGGGGACACAAGCCAGAGCCACTTGCTCCTCTTATATTTTCAGAAATGGGAGAAATTCTGCTGCTTTCATTACTGTGGTAGACACAGCAATGGTTGTTTTTTTGGTTCTTGCTACTGTTTGGTTTTTTCACCCCTGTTCTTTACCCAGCAAAATAACCTGGGCAGCTGGAGCACACGGGAAGGGCCTTTCTTTTCCTCCCAATTAATTACACAGCAAGTCCATGGTCTCTGATGTTGTTGCTGTGAACACTGATAAAACTGGAACAGCTTTAGAACATGTAATGCTGCAACCACCTCTTCTGGCTGTTCAAGTGTGTCAAGACCCTATCAAGTCAGCAACTACCTTAAACCTTTATTGTGAGTCAATGCAAAATAAAGGGAATATTTTTCCTTTTTTTTTTTTAAGACATTGCCACAAGATCCCACTCCACATGCAAATTCACCCATGCTTGCTGGGTTTCTTAGCATTCCTGGAAGTGTTTCTCCATATGTTTTTACCATTATTTAAGATGCTGGTGAGGTTCCATGATAAGGTTAGGGTTTGGGAGGGACTGGCACATCCGCCAGAGATGTTCCTGCCCAAGCAGTGTCTGGCAGTACTGGTAGAATTTACCCTTTTGCACTATATTACTTCTTTTTGCACTTGTAATAATATGGCTCTTTAACATGCTGGAAAAAAAGGCTCTGCACTTAAAAATGCCACAGGAGTGAAGATTAAGAAAGCAAGTGCAGACACCCAGCTGTTGAAAGCATACTGCCGTATGAAGTTGGGCGTGGGGGGACAAAATTAACATTCTCCTCACGTGCTCAGAGCCTGCTCTAATCACAATGCAGGCATTATCAGCCAGCATTGAATCTTTGTATTATTTCCAAGTTTCCCCTATTGTCAGTCATTGTGACAAAGTGCAGGACAATCTGACACAATGATGAATCACTCCAGACATTGAGTTTTCACATGGCTGTCAGATGATCTCAGTAGGCTGTGTCACCTGAAAATGCCACAAGACTAAACCCGTGCTGTACTTCAGAACAAAACCAGAGTTTGGTATAAACTCCACTGATTCGGGGCATAAACATGGGAGCCTGGAGGGCTGGCTCAGCTTTCTCTCATGCAGGAAAACCTCAGCATTTTCACCCAGAGTGAATGAAACCAGAATCAGGCTCAAGATGTGTTGACAGCTCTTGCATGCAAACCAGGAAGACACGTTGATTGGGGCTTTAAATTAAATTCCTGCATGGATGGATCTGTACTGTGGTTCTTTTAAAATACTTGTTCAATACGTAATGCCCATCAAAGTAGAGGGCATTTATCCTAATAGTTTTGGGTGGATATATAAAAATTAGTCCCTTGCAATTTCTTTTTCCTGCATGGCAAAGTTATCTAGCAGGCTCTTTATTTTCTCTGTGGGCCAGGTAAGATGCAGCTGCACTGATAACTGATTGATATATAGTCAAATGCAAATATGCTTGTTTAAGTACATGCCTTGCCTTCATGTATATTTCCTTGTCGGTGCTATTGTGAGCCTAGCCCAGAAGAACATTGCTCTTTCCCACATTATTATTCACAAAGGAAGCTTTCTGAGTTATTTCTGCTCCCGTACAATATTCATGATAGCAATTTGATACCTTAGCAGTTTCAAGGTTATCAAGTGATTGAAAATCCTGCTGCTTACTTCAAGGTGTAACATATAAACCGTACTGCCATCCATTCTAGTAATATAATAGTTTTTCTTAATGCCTTTCATGAACTCCTGATTTAAAGTGTAAGCTGACTGCAGAAAGGGCTTATCAGCCCCAGACTTTGCCCGTGCTGCCGGGCTGCTGAATTTGGCCCTGCGAGTTTGTATCTCTGCACGCAGCACTTAAGCAGGCAATATTTAACCTCTGGCAGAGATATTGATACATCAGCTCCCGAGTGAGGACGCTGAAGCACACAGCCATGATGAGAAACAAAGAAGTGGTGATTTATCTGGACTCCGTGGGTATGAATCCTGCGGGCAGGAATTGCAGATTGTAGATCAGGGGGATTAACTTTGCACCAGGAGCGGCGCCGGAGCCGCGTGGCGCAGCGGCGTTTGGTAATGATGGACAAAGAAGGGCCTTTGGACGTGTAATGGGGACGCTGAAGAAAAGCCCATCATTTCTCAACCTGTTTTGGAGGCTCCCAGCCACACACTGAATTTTGGCTGCAGATGTAGTTTGGGTGGTTTTTGATTGGTGGATTGTGCTGCTCCATGGAGTTTACATGGTGGCAGCTGCTTAAGTAACAGATGTCTGTGCCACTAAGGTGCTATGTTCTCACTTTTTATACGGAAAGAAATTGCTTCTCAAAGAGTTTTTATTGTCTTTATGCAAATTAAAATACAAAATTCCTCTCCTTAAAGGTTCTTCAATTATAACAAGAACCTTAAATAATCATAAATACATATGCAGCCTCATAAAATCTTTTGCTCTTTGGATATCAAGGAAGTTCCTTCTGTGCTGCCAATTGTGCATGAAATTAATTCTTATTTCAACTACCAGTATGAAGATGCTAGCTTTTATTCAGTGAAACCCCACTGGATTTCTAAACAAATAGTGTAGAACAGTTGTTTGTGCCAAAATATTTCAAGGAGGAAATTTTGCATTCTGTATCTTATGCGGTGCTGAGGAGTAAGATAGAGCTCTGTACTTATTCCCTAGGAGGCTGGTGATAGAAATATATAAGTTTTTTATCTTTCCTTTGTCAATTTCCTTTAGTAGGCAAACACGTGATGTCTTTACGGATTTTTTTTTTTTTTTAACCAGGGATTGAAATCTGTGAAGGACTCATGTCTAGAAAAGTTTCCACATATTCCAGCCTGCTGTGAGCTGAGTGTTAAAGTCCTTACATTTCTGGTTCATCTCACATTATAACTTTGTGTCAGGTATGACTTAGTGCCTTGCACAGCACTAGATTCCCCACCTCTCCTGTTTATTTCCAGTGACAGAGAGGGATGAGGAACCTTTCTCTTCTGCTTCACCTGTGTGTGGATCAAGCAGGATGCACCTGCAGGCAGGATGAAAGGAGTGCCTGCTCAGGGAGGGAGGCCATGGCCCCAGCCCATGGCACAGCAGTGAAACCAGTCCCTGAGGGAGGCAGCACTGGGTATTTGGAGAATTTGTGCAATCCTATGGGTTGCACAGCTCAGGACAAAAGGAAGGCAAGGTGAATGTGATCACACGAGAGCATCTACCAGCCTCTTCCAGGTCCTTTTCTCCTCAAGCTAAGCCTTATGAGCTCTCAGAGAACCTATCACACCTGAGATAACTCAGCTACCTCAAATGGCATAAAGTTAGCAGGATGGTTTCTGAGGTAGTGTTGGAAACAGAAAAAGTTTAATAAAAGCTAAAATAACAAAGCTCTTTCAGAGAAAAACTGAGCCGGGGCAAGAGGTTCTGGCTCCTGCTAAAGCACTCCACAAAAGTGATTATTTCCTTTGTTCTCTTTCTTTTTCTTTTCCTTTTGGTCTCTGTCCAATTGGGTAGCCCTAGGTTTGAGGTGAAGTCCCAAAGGTCCTATGAGGTGTCTTTTTAGCTAATTGAGGAGACAAACTTCTGGGCTTTTTGCCTTTTTAAGCAGACAAATAATTTGGTCACTCCTTCAACAAGAAGGCACATTCCTACCCTTTACAGAAAAAAACACATGGAGTGCAGCCAGCTTTGAAAAGCACCTGCCTGTCACCTTATCACCCTCAGACAAAACAAATTGCCCCACAAGGACTCCTGAGGTCAGCCTTGGCTGCCAACCCAGAGATGATTTGGCTGCCCCCACCCTTCCCTGCCACCCCCAAAACTGGGCTGAGCTGCCCAGGGTGCTGCCTGGGAGATTGTGTAGCCACACACCTTTTCTTCTCTCCTCTGGGCTCAGCAATCACCAAACCTGTGGTAAGAAGTTATTGCAGAGGGGAACCTGCATTGTGCTAGGCTTCATTGTGTGCTTGTGCTTTTATAGTATGCTGTTTTGAGGGGAAATAAATTGAAAAAGAAAGCAAAGGGAACAGAAAGATGATTCTTGCTTTTACTGAGCTGTGGGATTTGATGCTGTAGGAGCCAGAAGTCTGTTCAATGTTTCCATGGGTAAACTTAATTTTAAGTAGATATTTCTGATATGACCTTTTCCTAGTATATTTTTTTTTCACATATCTGGCCAGTAGACTGAGTAAAGAGGTGGTGAATGTGCAGTGGATTATTAACCTGGTGGCAACAGCATTAGTAACAGAGCAGGGTGCTTTATTCCACTGCTAACACTTGCATCTGTTTCACAAACATTACCAAGATAATCACATTCTTCCTGCATCTGCTTTGCTTTAGCTCACACAGATAATTCAAGGGTAATGCACCTTGTCTAAGCTAATTCTAAATACATGCCTCAAACACAAAAAAAAGTGCTTGGTGGGTATTTTGACCCAATGCACTACATCAAAGTAACCAAGTAAGCTGTAAATGCTTTGAATAAAATTGGACAAAAATTGGCATTTGTCCAGTTGTGTTTCTGGCTGGCAGTTCTTTAAGTTTTAAACTTTCTCTGTATGTGAATTTATATTAAATGATAGTGCAACCTGTAAGTTATTCAGGTGCTCCAGTGCTGAAAAATAAAATATACCATGAACAGTGTGCTCTCAGGTCTGAGTCATGGAACTGAGATCTGACCTTTCCAGAAAACCTGCAGGCTAACAAAATTGCCAATATGGGATGACACCTTTGAAATTAGGCACCTGATGTGGAGGAACTCAGAGCCCTGTGGGTCCAGCTCGCTGGGGCTTTGCCTGGTGGATCCAGACATTAAATCCTGAAAATTGGAACCATACCGATGATTGTTGAAAGTGAGGTTAAATGGAATTAAGCAAAACTATAAATTTAGTCAATGAGGTACTTAATAAAAGCAGAATGTTAGGATCACAGAATCACAGAAAGGTTTGGGTTGGAAGGGACCTCAAAACTCATCTTGCTCCACCTGCTGCCATGGGCAGGGACCCCTTCCACTACACCAGGTTGCTCCAAGCCCCATCAATCTTGCCTTGGACACTTCCAGGCTGAACAGCTCCAAGTCTCTCAGCCTGGTTGAAAATCAACAAGAGCTCAGAGCCCTGGAGGGAGCCTCACCTGCTGGTTGAAGCCATTCTTGTCACACACTGCACATATCAAATCCTGGTTAGCAAATCCTGGTTAAGAAACATCAGTGACCATTAGTGTCAGCAGCCCTCATGAGGTTCTGTGATCAGGTAATAATCTGATGTGTCAGAAGCTTGAAATGACTCCATTAGAGCCAGAAAAGAAGACAATTTATGAAGGCATCATTAGCATTTCCTTTTCCAACTTCACACAGATTTCTTGGAGGGACATACGCTGAATATCTTCCCTTAGCACTTGGAACTGAGTGGAGTCTCCTTCTCAACGCTGGCTACCCCTGTCATTCCCTAAACACTGTGCCATGTGGTTCCAGAGGGCTGGTACTACACTGGACACCATTCATGAGCTTGATTTCTTTTAATCATAGCCCATTTTTAAATGTTACTACTCCCAATGATCAGCACGATAATCAAAAATAGATTGTTAGCACTATTCCTGTTTGCAAATACATTTGTAACAGATATAATTGGTAAAGTTTAACTTGTGTTTGACTCATGTTAAAGTGCCCATCAACATAAAAAGATGAATAAAAATGAGGATTTTTTTAACCAACACCTGAGGTCGTGCAGACAGCAGAGACAACTCTGAGTCCCCCCTAAAATAAAAAAAATTCATATGTAGAAGATTAACATTTGAAAACACAAGATGTCAAAGAGGGATCTGAAACGTCTTTATTTCTCACCTTTCAATGCTAAAATACAGAACTGGACATTTGAAAGCAAAAGCAACAGAATATGAGTAGAGAAAACAAGTGAATTTATATGCAATGGAAAAATTATTTAGTGAAATATAAGGTGATTTATGAGCTATCTTCTTGTTACACTAGCAAACAGTCACAAGTCTGTTACAGAAATTTGACCTGAAAAGGGTCTCTGCTTGACCTTGGGGGTCTGCATTAAATGCAGGGTGTTTGTCCCAGGATTGAGAACTGCTGCAACACTAAAAATACATCCTGGATTTGATCATTTGTCTAATAAATCTTGTAGCAGTGAGTTTCGTGGACTAATTTCTATTTTAACCCTGTAAAGGTGGGTTAATTTATGCCTATTTTATTTTTCGCTCTTCTCACTTTTTCATATCACTGATTTTGCTTTCCTGCCTTTCTGCATCTGTTGTCCTTGTTTTGCTGTGAAATTTTTAACTCAAGATTTTTATAACTTTATAACTGTTATAATTCCTCACAAAAAATCAATAGAATCCCATTTAATAATTTAAATTAAATGCAATATATGATAGGAAAACTCAGGAAATCTTTGAGCATGCTCAGTGGCATTCAGAAATTTTAACCAAATGTAATCTTGCCTGCAACCCTTGGTGCCTTATGTGGGAATTCCTCCTGGCTCCAGGAACAAGAGGGCAAACCAGGACAAAAAGCTGGATCCTCCTGCAGCTCATAGGAAAGAGTTTTTAAAATAGCTTGTGGAAACACTCACAAAAAACACTGCCCTGTCATTGGGAATAACAGGCAGCAAATTGATACAGTCATTAGGGAACTGAAAATGAGAAGTACAGGAAACAGCAATTAAGCAATTTCAAGCCTAAATCAAAACAGCGCAAGAGGAACTCCCCAGATGCCTTTGCTGCCTTTCAAATAATCACTGGATAAGTTTTGCCAGGAAAAAAAAAAAAAAAGGAAAAGGAAAATAAGAAGGAAAAATCAGTGCTTATGCTCAGGAAGACATCAAACAGCAAAATCAAATTAATGAGGGGAAACTCCCAATGGATGGAAGAGGAAAAGATGTGAAGGCTGCAGAGTGCCCCAGGACAGTGGCACAGGACATGGCTTTGCAGGGAGCAGGAGCTGTGTGGCCACCAGTGCTGTCCCCAAGCCCTGCTCAGTCCCTCTAGGGACCTGCTCACCTTCAGCCTGGGATTTCTGTCCCTGGTGGAGGAGATTCACTTTCCCTGGGTGGTGCAGGGCCAGGAGGGATCTCCCGTGGCAGCTCCACCAGGACCCTGCTGTCCCCCTGTAGCCTCTCCCCTGGCTCATGCATCAATCTGGTCCCCTCATGTCAAACACAGCTGGGCAGCCAAAGCACCCTGAAGCACCCACACCTGCATGGTCCAGGCTGGCTGGGGAGCCTGGCAGCCAAGGAAGTGTCCTGAGTGGAAATTTACCAGCACTAACTCCCCTGTCTGACTCTGCTGGTGAGTTCAGGTTTTGGGCACCATCAGCACTACTCTCTGCTCCCCAGGCCTCTAAATCTATGCAATTACCCAGATTCAACCTTCTAAGCAGTCATGTAAGGGAAATAATTTGGTTGTCCTTGATGAATCCTCCAGGATAGTTTAGCATGGAAGCCCTGAGTCTCATTGCCTGATGACGAAGAAAACACTTGGTTTTAACAGGCCTGATATGACTTGTGGTTTTTCTGCTCATGGCCTGAGCTGAAGCCCTAGCACTGCTCTGTGTGTGAGCTTTCCTGAGCCCAGCCACATTTTCTGCCAAGCAACATCACCCTCCTGCATCTTGTGAATTTGTGAATTTTGCCCTGAAACCTTAAACATGTTTCCAAACTAATTCCATGACTAATGAAGGCCCTGGCTTGGGCTTAGGGACTGCAAATACCTCATATCTGTTGGTGCAATGGCCAGCGTGGTGATAAAATGACGTCTGTCCTTTTTGAACTGCAAAGTTAGTTTGTATATTCTCAGGAAGCATCATGTCTTGGAGAAAAGCTGGATTTACGGACACAATCTGGGCAGTGTCCATGCAGGAGGTGCACATTTTCTGAAGGAATGGCACCCCTTACATGGGCATATTGTTTTGCATTCAGTGTGAAATAAGATTTGTCAGAAATGTCTTTTCAGGACCACTAAGACAATGACACAGTGGAGGCATTGATCATCTGTTTATCTTTAGCAGCAAAAGTAGAAAGTAATGAAAATTATTAGCAAAAACAAACCAAATAAGAGAAAAGTAACTACATGAAGTACCAAATCTTAGCTCCAGGAGGAGCAATCATCCCTATATCTATTTATTTCCATTTGCATGATTAATTGACATCTTGTTAACTGCTCACCAGGGACACTGCAAATCAGCACGGAACAAAACAAACACTTCACAGTAGAGAAGAGGGTTTCCAATTGTGGATTCTACTGGCATCAAAACCAAGTTTGAAAAATGCATTTTGGGAGTCAACCTGTGTTACATGCCAGGTAAACTGGAGATTGGAAACTTTCTGATCTGCTACTGCAGAGTGTATGGGGCAGCCCGAGCTGTGCTGGGAATGCTGCTCTGACTTTGGAACTGTAGGGGTGATGTTGTGAGGACAGCTGTGATTAATGAATTGGTGGCTGTGGGAACTTCCTAAAACCCAGGAGAGTTTGCAGCACGGTCCCATGGCTCCCTGCATCCCTTGCAGAGGGACTAGTGCCTTCCTGTGCATGGTGCTTGGCCAGGAGATCAACAAGCCCTTGATGCTCCCGCACATCGCAGCAGTGTATTATGAGATTTTTCTCCCTGTTGCAGCGTGACAGTTCCAGTGGGAATTCTGGACTAAATGACTTTTTTATATATTTTTTTTTTTCATGCACCAGAGAGTAATTTAATTTGTTTTCTCTCTTGCTTGTTTTGTGTTGACATGGCAGAGGACAAGGTCTGATAAAGGGAGAAAGCAAGGGAGCTGCAGCGGTGATTTTCCATTTTATTGATGGTGACGCTGTGTGGAGAAATGTAAAAATAGATCTTGATGCTGACAATTTTGGGACAATTTTGTCCCTTCTTGATCCCAGGCCGGCACTTTGAAGCTGGGTCCTCCACCCTCTGTGAAGATCAGTGCCCGAGCAGAGGCGTCAGGCAAAGGCCTGCATCCTTTGTGTGACTCTCAAAAAAGAGAAAACAAGAGTGAGCAGTTTATTTATCTTGGAGGAAACACCATGGGCTAAATCTTGCACTTCTGAAACTGAAGTCAAAGGAATGAGTCCTGTGAATGATGAGAGAGAAGGCTGGGACCTAGAGACACAGCAAAATCCTCCCAAAGGAGTGTGTGAGAAATGTCATTATAGCTGACAACAGAAATACCTGGCTTCTCCTTACAGTCTTTTCAACTAGTACCCAATTTGCATGACAGGTGAGCACTGAGTCATGCTGTGTGAGACTTTTTGATCCATAAAAACCTTACTGAAGGAGACAATGAACATTTAAAAATCAATGGTCTGAATAACCAGCAAGGTATGAGTGGTGGTGACTGCCCCCTTGAAAAAAGGAAGAATGTAGTGGGGTGGAACCTGAGCAAGTACAGACTCAGTCATACCATTAACTTTTCTTTTGAAAGACACTCTTGCAGGGATGCACCTCCTATTCATTGCCCTGCCTGGCCAGGCATCATATTTTATTAGAAGAAAACAAAATTTAAAGACCATGTAAGTAAATATTGAATAAGAACAATCAAGTGACAATGGAGACAGAGAAAAGCCATTATTTCTTTTTAACTGAGGGAAAGTGTTCCCAAACCACTGAGAGAAACAACATGTGAGTATCTTTTCAAAGGGCAACAGCATTTAATGGCATGGATACATCAGCTTTGCTTTTTAATTTTGTTTTTTCAATTGTGTTTTGTTGCAGGGAGCAGTGGCAACACCCATGGTCATTAATACTGAGGGTGCAATGCAGGAATTGCCACACTGGGCTAAACTTTTGATGTCCTCGAGGGACTGCACAGCCAAGTGACTTTGATGGATCACAGCAGCACTTGAAACCGAGCAGGGAAAGATTAGCGTGTCTCAGGCAGAGAGATTCCACTCACCTGATTCTTTTCTGTTCTGATGAGATAATTTTTCTAATTAACCTTGATAACACTTCCAGACACCAAGGCCTATCCACACACGGATGGAAATACATTTTCAAATGGACATTTCACTCCTACCCATGTTTGCTAGTAGTGAATAGAGGAATTTAACACCTTTGTTGCCAACTGATTTGTTTGGATAACTAAAGCTGAGCCCCCTTAACAGAAGGAGAAGCTGCCCCCAAGAGCTTTTGGCAGAAATCCAGGCTTCCATAGGCACTGAGGTGTCTTGTGCTCACTGATGGAATAAAGGAAGCAATATGAATTTAGGAGCAACCTCAGTGTCAGGTGTCAATTTCTGTTTATTCCTCTTTTGATGCTTATCAAGGAAGTCAGTGATGCTGTCCTTCTCTGAGCAGGATCTGAACAACTCTAAAAATGTTTTGAAAGCCAAAGCATGCCAGAATGGGGTCCTTTGGAAGTGCGCAGTGTCTGACCTTTATCCCTCACAGCATCCCACTTAGGAAGAGGAAGGACCATCTCATAATCCCACTGAATTCACTGAAAATCATCCTGGAAGTGAAATGAACCATTCCCCCTGCTCTCACCTACTTTGTTCAGTTTTAAAAGTGTCCAGCAAGAATTTTTCAAAGCTTTCCTGACCCTTGCTCTTGCCTGACTTTACATCAACACTGATTTTCTACTCTGTAGAGCTGGAGACACAGATCTCTGCTCCCCTGAAGGACCTGTGAGAAAGAGCAATAACTCCCTGGCCATTCTTTCACCACATCCTTTGAACCTGCTGCAGAAGAGGTGAGGCAAGTGCTGCTTTCCCAGAGCACTTGCCTCTGGCCAGGTTTTTCCTCTGATACTTGAAAGATGCTAAAGCTTGCTGAGAATGCATTATAAAAAAATCAAACATGCTATCAAGGCTCAAATGCAATGAAACTGAATTTATTCCTAACTATTCATCATATTTCCAAGTCTCTGAATATGTTGTTACCAACAGAGCAGTGTTTAAAGGGGGCTGCAACATCATTTCCTAACCCTTCATGCAGACAGAGTAATAGAGAATCTCCAACACAGGTAAGAGCACTTTCCCCAAGAGCTGGCAATTTAGATTTATGGAGACGTTTTAGGAGGATATTTGGCACTTAAACAGAGTCCAAGAGAGAGCTCATGTACATGAGAGGTTTAAGACCACAATTTTTAGGATGTCACAACTCTTTTTTCTCTCTTCAGAGGTTGTGCTGGTACCACATGACCACCCTGCCTTTCCCTTTCTCACAGAGAGGCTGCTCCCATTTTTCCTGCAGCTGGGTTTATACAAAGCCAATACTTAGCTGTCTTGTTTCAGGTGATTTTATAGGTCTCTTAACACCTGGTAAAAAATGCAATTGCTGTGGGTGAGCACGACTTTACTGGGCAGAGGTGATCTTTTTGTTGAACTGGATTTCTCTAGCTGTAGTAAGTTTTTTGTGTTTTTCTTGTCAGATAAGTCAATTACACTGTCCATTTCTGAGCCAGTTTTACCAAGATTGTAAAATGAAAGTGTTTTGTAGCTAAAACATGCCAATACTAAAAAATTACTTATTTAAACTCCAGCTGTGCCATTGACCTGAACAGGCTGATGAGGAGGTGTCACTCACCCAAGCCTCAAAGACAATCTTCATGATGGTTCACAAAAATATTTTGCAAAAATTTCAGACTTGATCCTATTTATAGATATATATTTTGCAGACATACTTTGATAAGGGATTTTGTTTCACTTTGCTTATTTCTGAGGCACTTTCGACCTCGTCAGCCTTTGCCATAGCTTTTAAAGGACACAGGCAGAGAGAACAGATGGAAATAAGGATAATTGCTTACTTTGAGCACTGAGAGAAATGCATAATGCCTATAAGGTCTCATCCAAAGTTAATGGAAAGACTATCAATCCTTTGTACCTACACTGTGTTCACAGGCTCTGAGCAGCTTTCAGGAACGGAGCCTGCTGACTGCAGGAGGTGAGGAAACACATTTTTCCCCATTTCACCCAGGCAGAGATTTTTGTGCTTCCCAAGGTCACACACACAGCAATGGAGCAGGGATTGAAGCTGGGTATTTCAAGTTCTTTGGTTGCCTTATGGTGACCAGATCCCTCCTCAGCTGCACCACATCTCTGTAGCACTGAGCAGTCCCAAAGCTCCTCCAGCATCCCCCAGCCCACACAGTGCTCTGCAGACTCTGGAATCGGTTGTGAAGTTCCCTGACTAGGAAAGGGGATTTTGCACACCAGTTTAGGATGTGGAGGGCTGGCATGTGATGAAGACCCTCCTGCTTTGGGCTAATCACAGCTAAATCTGACTCTGCCACTACCATGCAGTACCTGAGGAGTGCAATTTTGTGTGGGACACATGTACAAAAATAACATAGGTGGTATTTTGAACTAAATGTGCACTGCATGCAGTGCTCATGCCATTCCTAGGAGCTACATAAAGATAGCATGAAGGGCTTAGCTATGAGGATTGAAATAGTAGGGAGAATTCAGAAACCATAGTTAAACAACTTTAAAAGAACATCTGAGAAGATGAACCTTTTGATAGGATTTAGGCTGCCTATGGGATTGTGGAGCTTTAATCAACAAAAGCAGCTTATTCTATCAGTGTCATGAGCAACAGCAGAAAAGGCATCATCAGCGAGGAACACTGTAGAAAACAATTTATTTGGTTTAAAAACTTGTTCAGAGCAATCTGAGGCTCTCCCCTTAGTCTGGTGACCATCTGGATGGATTTTGCTTTGGAAAGCCTGTTTTGAACTTGAAGCAAACAAACATTTGTTCACATGGTGGGAAAGAAAAGATTGAAGCAATGTGCCAGAACTGGAAAAGCCACCCATGCATAGCAGTACATTTACCTAGAGCAAAATAAGCTCTTTGTTTTTGGGACATTGTCTTTAGTCCCCTTGTGAAGGTCTCCTTGACCATCCTGCATGGTGGAAAGTCAGGGAAAGACACTGATTTTCCCTGTATGTGACATCTACTTCTGTAACAAACTATTGTGTTCAGCTCCATTACCAGACTCACACACATTACAGGCTGTGGGATGTAATTTTTATGTTCCCTAATTTTATTTTTAGTCACCCCAAAAGCAGTTTTCAGTGGACAAATTCCCTGGGGAGGAGGTGTCCCCCTGGCTGGCAGCCCAGCCCTGGAGCAGAGTGTGGAGCACTCCAGGGGTTCTGGGCAGTTTTGCAGGAGCAGTGCCCAGCAAGGTGACAGTGCCAGACAGTGTCACCTCTGCCTGGCTGGGATGCCAGAGCCAGAGCCAGAGCTCTTGGACAGCTGGACCCAAAGCCCTCAGCTGGTGCTGGGGCCCTATCCAAGCCCCATAAAGAGGGAGAGATGGTAAATCCCATAATGGGAAGGCATTTATTTTCCTCTGCCTTTATAGTTAGCTGTCATGAATTTGGGTGGAACTGCTTCTTGGATGGGCCCCAGACAGTTCTGTCCCTGTGCTGCAGCACATTCACTCCAGCACTCATTAAATGAGCTGGCAGGTCAGGTGATGGTTGTTTCCCATTTCAAACTATTTAGCACCTTTGGCTGATTCTTTGACATAATTCAACCAAAAAAAAAAAAACAACCCCAAACCAGTGAGTGCTAATGCATATCCAACCCAGAGAGCAGCTAAACTTCCACATTCTTTAGCATTCCCAGCTATCAGCATTTATCAAACCTCTGAACCTGCCTCACCCCAGGCACAAAGGTAAGAGGAACTTTGTATTTCATGCTTCTTCTTTTCATAGCTTTAAGTGTGGTGTAAATAACCTTTCCCATAAAGTCAGCTAATGTGATCCTCCAGCTCAGACGTGTATAATTTACAAACCTAAAACTGATGGGTTGTCACATTTGTATGAATCCACATATGGGGTGAAAAGTTTGAATATTTTGGAAGGAGCTGATACATGCCCCACAAAGGACACTGAAACATTTGATTATTTGTGCACCATTGGTGTTCTGGCAGAAAGACAGCTGTGTTGCCTAACATCAAACACTGTAAGTCTACTTTGCTAGTGTACATTTTCACAATCTTAATTTTTTCAAGTGTAAATACTTTTCATTAGAGACAATATTTATTTTTTTTCTTTAAAAATTACCTTGAAGCAAACTACAACTCGGTGTTAAAATTAAAAGCACGGGTTTAAAATAAATGTATTAAAATGCTTTAAATTCCAGTAAAATATTTCTAAGATTTTTAGAGCTAATTGAGGGCACCTATGCAGGCACGTAGTGCCTTCCCACCAGCATTGCAGAGTCTGAGAGCTGAATTATTAAGAAAGCTCTTTTGCTGGATTTCTGACAAATCACTTTAATGTGCCAAAATTGATTTGGCATGAAATCGTCAATAGACCCTCCAGAATACTAATAGCATTAAAGGCAGGGGCCAGAACTGACAAACTTGCTTGGCTGGAGTTGGGTTCATAAATTAGCAGTGAGGTGTCTGAATTACAGCCCTCTGCTCCCAGCTGTGCTGTGTGTCTGTCTGTCCAGCTGAAGAGATTTCAGCAAGTGACAAATGGGGGAGCTGGGGATGAGGAGAAGACTTTATGTAATGGCTTTACTTCTCACCTCAAATTCTACAAGCCTTGGATGCTGTAGGTAACCACCCCAGATAGTGGCTAAACCACTAGAGTTTTGTACTTTCTTCCCCATCTTTGTTTTTGTTACAAATCCTCAGATCTTGACTCTGAACACACATCTTCCTTTTAGGAATTGAGAGCACCAGCACAGCCCCATGCTCAGAGCTGGCAGGGGAAGGTCACTGACCTCTTCTCCCAGCCCCTCATGGCCTTGGATGAACCTTTCCACTTTCTTGTCTGTAGGACAGCAGTGTCAGTGCTTCTTTTCCATGTATGCTGAGAACATCTCTTGTTATATTCACCTACTTGCCTTGAAGCACAAATTTGCCATGGGATCTTTGGTGAGTATAGCAATCTTCCCTCAGCTAGTTGTGTCTGTGGAATTGAAGAATGTGAAGCAGCATTTGGACCAGGTCTTTAGGCAATAAGTACTAGCACAATAGTATGTGCTATCTCTGTAACATTTAGGGACAGAAGCCTCAGGTGACATAAATCTGCTTCCTTTAACTTTAATGAATTTGAAATAATTTCCTGTGGTGGAGGTGTTGATTCAGTTCAGCTGAGGTCCAGGCCTGTGCCATTTCAGCAGCAGCAGAGTTTCCTAAAACAATTGGGGAAATCACAGTACAGGAGGAGCTCTGCAGCCAAGCAACAACTCAAGGGAGCTAAAACTGTCATAGCTGATTAACAGAAATGAAAGCTGCTCAGAAACAAAT